AATTATTGATGTGAAACCTGAATAACTCTAATCGTGATTGTTCTGGTTTAAACCTCGCCAGAACACCGTTTAGAATTTCATGATGGAAATATCGAAATGAAATTCTCTTCTCATACACTCAAAAACCCCCAGTAATCCCTGTAATTTGGAAAAAGAACAGGCGAGTTTTTGAAGGAAAAACTCACCGAAGCAGATATGGTGGAATCTTTTCAACCACATCACGGCCACCTCCCAATTTTCTGTGAAACAATGGCGATGGATAGGATAGCAACTGGGAATTTCCTGAAATTGTTATGAGCAAAGAAAAGAACAATTCAACATTAGGTTTCAAGAGAAAATGAACAGAAGTTAATAATGAGCCACCAGTGTTAAAACTTCAAAAGTATGGATTGAGGTGTACTTATGAGTTCTGGCTGGAGAAATAAACATCGACTCAAAAATGGGCAGATATTGGAGGATGGGAGGAGGAGGGGGGGGGAGGAGGTGAGGGAGGAATGAGAGGTTCGTTATTGAAAATTCAGCAGACCGAGAAGGCCCCTCAGCTTGGTCTTTAAAATAAAAACAATACTCATCTTTTGTCAAAGAGAATATGTAAAAATGATGATCTGTTTCCTTTCGCCTGTGTGAACTGAGTCAACGAGGCTAACCATTAGGTTGAGAAAAAAGTCCTGATCGAAATTTCACTCTCACTTCGAAGGCTCATATTTTTACAGCAGTTATCAATTTATGGTTTAGGCTTGTCTTAGTAAGGAAAGAAACCAATCGTTTGATTAACTTAGTCAGAAGAAATGTATTATGTTGCTTTGCCTCATGTTCGAACCCTAGAGCATCTGGAGACCTTTTCGGAAAGGCCCACCATTTCTTATACGAGTCCTCAAAGGTGATACTGTAAAAGCAAGCTGTCAATAACAATAATAATTGAGTATCAACGAAACCGCCTTGTCCAAAACTTCCATGCAGGAAGCTTCTGCATCGAGAGTTCCTCTGTGTCCAGAACGACAGTGAATAATAATCGGAAGACCATAGTCCTTTGCAAGACACAATTGTGTGAAGAATACTTCCTTCTGTACTTCAGGATCAACGGTGCTTCTGTAATGAGAGATAGAGTTCTCAACTACCGGAATACCCTAGAATCATGCTAAATCCATTAAAGTTGGTGAAAAATCACGAAAAATTGGCAAACCAGCTATAAACGGAGTTACAGAAAAAATTGAACCGGGCTCTAACCTTGTTCTGCATGTGTTGTTGTGTTAATTCCTCTAGTACTGTTCAAAAAAAATTACCTCATGTAATCGATCCCACACTCTCCAATGGCCACTATTTTGTGTTTGCCTCGCTCCTTGAGTAATTGCACGAGCGTTTCTCGAATCTTAAAGCATCTGCTTGAAAAGAGCAAAATCAATGATCTGATTGTGATGATACTTTCGAAAAAAAATTTTGTAACACGGTAGTGCATCACAACCATTCATCCACAGCAACAAATGTGGCCATAGTTAGCGAAAAGTCGTCGCAGTCCAGAAGCAGCTAGCCTATGTGTGCCTATGAATACATTGTTTGACGCGGTGTCCGTTCAAGGGCAATAGTCAACCGGAAGGCTTGGTGATTCAGCGTTTTGTAGTGTTCTCTGGGGACGCATACACACTATTACAGCATCTCTGCTTTCTTTCCCTTCCTTCGAAAGGCTTAGTCCCAGCAATGTGCTTTTCTGTCTGAACTCGCACACGTTGGTTGACCACTGCCCCGTAACCGGTCGCTTGGCGTTGGCAGTACAGACGGCATCAGGAGCACCAATGGCACCCAAAAAGACGTGATATCCTGCTTGATGGTTTTCTATTCTGAGACTAACTCCGGAACATGATCCCAGGCTCATAAAAAAGTATACCTTGATCAGCGAGTAGCCGAGAGGAGCCGCTCACCACACCCACCAATTGAGATTCATGAGGATACAATCCCGGCAAAATTGTATCTGGTTTCAAGTACACTGAACTAGCACTTGTTAAGCACATTTTGATGAATTTCTTCACCCAAACAACCTGTCTCTGCTTACTTATTGAAAAGACAAAGGACAATGCATTCTTCTTTGACAAGCCCTCTCATGAGATGCATCACGCATTCCTTCTCCATTCCAAATAACAGTGACACCAGCATGCAATACTTGCAAGACCACCCGATACTCAGTTTTGCAATCCCAGACGAGTGATTGTAGCAGTAAATCGACTTCTAAAGACTCGATTGGCCTCTGCGAGATTCTATCTGAGACTAAAACCAAAGCCCGCCCGCATGGTATACGGTGCCAGAGCTACTCTTTGCATCGAGGTAACACCTTCACATATCATTTCATGTTTACAGATCCTAGACCAGAATGTGCGAGCGTAGAAAAAAAGCAAATGTTACTACAAACGAGTTAATCATAGAAAAACCTCACCGTGTCCTTGAATTGATCAGCGTAGTGAGGATGACAACCGTAGGAAGTTCCCAACACTGATGGATCCTGAAACCTAATAAGCTCTAATATTTCAACAGTCACAGTCGGTTCAACAAAAACACACCTTAATTTGTTCTTCTTCTATCCAGCTAAGATTCTGAGTGAATGCAGAAGTGAGGATCTTGTATCAAATGAATATTGGTATGCATTCCTAAACTTTGACAGGCTTGAGGGAATTTATATCTAAGAGATTAACATATCAGGCTCACGCATGCGATCATAGCAAAAGTTACCGGAAAAGTAGTTGTGCCATATTCGAGGTGATGAATTTCTCCATGTTTCGACATTTCCATTACACTTATTGTAGATGAAGTCAAAATGACAATGTGAATCAATATATGGTTCAAGTACGTCATTCCGAATCTAAGAATGAATGATCTTATGCTATGAATAAACCAAGCTTTGCAACTAGAGAGAGAAAGTTGGCCCCAAATGAAGATGTGAGCGCATTTTGTAACACCTTACTAGAGATGCTTCAGAGTCTAGAATGCGCAGCACTGACACTGACACCTGCTGACGGTATTACGAGGGCCCGCTTAACATCCACGAGCGCCTGCGAGTTTTATTTCGCAGGAAATTGCTCGATAGATTTCAAATAAAACAAATCTACTGAAAAGAGAGCAAAACAAGCGCATACAATGCGAGCACTCAATTTAGGCCGAATTCAGGAATTTTCCGAGTCCTAAAGTTTACCTACTAGGTTTTGTACCCATCTGATAAAGAGAATATGGAAGGGTATTCCAACAACGGATAAAAAGAATTCTCGCAAAATCAAAGCCAAATAAAGTAAAATGCGAGATGGTGATGTGGCAAATGGCACATCACCATATCACACCTGACCAGGCTAGGCTTTCAACATCTTATGTAATCTTGAATGGAGACTTAAATTAATCGATACAGTCAGGAACTCTAGTTACAAAAAAGGACAACAAAATTGTACGGTGAAATTACCAAGCAAGTTGGGAGTGATTTGGCAGGAAACGCAGCGAAGTTTATAGGAGGCGAGCTAATCTAAGCATACTCATCAGTGTTTATTATTTTCCCCGAGACTTTGTCCAAAGGGATGAATAGGTGGTCCGATCCCAGATGGGAAATTCGTTTCAGAAAATGCCACCTGGCGCTAGATCGGCGCCACAACCTACATTTTTTGGTGGTCTCCACATTTGTGAACATTGTTCTTGAGCTATAGATTCACCTGGTTCTCCACCCAAATACCATGGAGAGATGAAAACCTTCCCTGGTAAGTAACGAATGCAGGATCGTATCTCGCCCATGCTCGCAAAGCCTTTCCAGGTATGGATTGTTGATACCAGATTCACCTATGTGGATGAAAACACTAATACGCATATGTACAACGATCGGCTCACAGAAGTCACTGTGCACTGTGTAAGCTAGGTCGCACTCGCCCTTTTACTACCCGACTGGAAGAGAAATGCGTGGCCCGCCCAAAAGGATAACCAACACCGAATGGTCTGTACTGGATCGGCTCTTGTGTTCCTTAGAATGTACTGCCACGCGGGTTCTTACTAACTCAACCATACTCCACCTCCCTTTTATACTGAATTAATAAAAACATCTCTGATAAACATCATAACAAACAATTTCAGTCCATTTAGAATAACAGTTTATTGAGGTTGGTTTGGAGGGATCTCTACATGGTCCATCCCTTTTTCCTCGAGAAATTTTAAAGGAAGAACACCCCGTTCACGCACAATGGTCAAAGATGATCCTTCCACTATAGGCAACTAATGCAACCGTTCCCAGTCGGCTAATAAGGAATCAGGTTACAAAATTATCATGTGGTTTGGAAAGCAAATAACTGCACTTCTAGTGGAGATGGTTCCCGTGCCGCCAATACACCATCGGTTCGACGTTCAGCCATCTTCCGCTGGTTGCATTATCCATGGCAAGCGATCGAGTACAGTTATACGAAGGAGGAGGATCAGGACCAACCATGGTGTATGATCGATTCTGGACTTATGAACCCCTCCCATACCCCGCGATCTGGCCAATGATGTCGATAGTGTCTGTTGAATCTGCTTCAACTTGACACACTTTCACTCCTGCCTTTCGCTGTGATCTTCTAGCCATTCGCTTGTTACAACACCGACCCTCCGCCATCCACGACGCTGTCCGACCGGTCCAACAGGCCCTGAGCAGGACTGCACTACAAGGCTCTTCCTATCGATGTTCAACAAATCCAACAAAAAGTGGAAACAAAGGAATTCCATCGTTACAGTGCTCAGTTTTTTTTCTGCACATCATCAACACATCTTCCGATTTCGCTAGCTTTTGCTTACTCGAGTACCTTGCATCTGCTTTCGTTTTGCACTCGCTACTTCTTTTATAAAATATTGGCAAAATCCTTTTCTTTCGCTATGGATTTCCTCGACTCTCTGCATGTCACACATTCACCTATTGGCGGGAAATCTGTAGCACCCCGGAGGCATCTGTAAAACCAACGCGATGAATTTACTGACGCCATGGAAAAGTCTGATGGCTAATCTGTCTGGTAATATGGTGCTTCTCAATTCATACAATTAGTGGCTGCTATGCTAGCCTCGAGACAGAGGATGAACCTGCCAGGACGTGGATAATATCAGAGAGAGGCGTGCTCACACAACTCCCGTTACATCGACGTCTACATAAGGCCCCATATCAAATGTTCTCCAAATCATTGAAAACCTACCCATAAAAACTTACTTCTTTGGATTGATCCTCGTCTTCGACATCAGGAAGTACAGCGCTTTCCGTAATATTCTGAAATGCGTTTATGGAGCATATGGGAGTGCAGTCGCAAGTAATATGCAGGAGAACCGTAATGGCACTTTTTTTAAAAACTGATATGGTTCTTGTTTACCTTAGTTTTCACACATCTGGAAAGTTTAATGAGAATTTGAACACAGTCAAAGGCTTCTGACAAGTCGGAAGAACGCCACCTATCTTGCACATGGACTTGGCGACCCTCACAGAATTTTGGATTATTTCAACAGTCTACGTATATAGGAAGCCTTCAGAAACATACGTAGACTTCCTGTTCAAAGCCATGCAAGACATACTTCATGAAAAAATAATTTTTCCCTTGCGATATGGCTCTCAGGGGACGCTGACGTAAACAATCTTCAGAATTCATAAGAAATTCAAAAAGGAAGAGAAAAATGTAACCACTTACATCGTCATCATTCCTCTGCACATCGGCAAACAAATCATCATCGCTCGAAGTCTGAAACAGTTGCCCGTGAAGCTACCCTCGAGTGGCTTGTGTTTATGAACAAAATACTGCTGAAGGCCCCTGATGAACATCCATAAAACGCAGCACCATTATTTCCCACCTAGTTGACCTATTTTAGTTTACTTCAGAACTTAAGAGATGAATTGCAACGGAACAGAGAGCTCAAAGAGCACCTCAAAAGCAACAACGACCTACATTTGTGGCATGAAATCCGTTGGGTAGGGATGGCTGCGCATTCACAGTGACCAACTAAAGGAATGAAATTATGCAATATCCATATTATCATAAAATTACTACATACTCGAAGCGAGCACAAGCTTGAGGCTTTCTGTAGCACTGAAATAAAAAAAAACCTATTTGACTTACACAGTTGGACGGAGACGGAGAGAGATGTGGACTCTTCATATTTCCGATCTTTTTTATACAAACTGCTCTTGGTGTCAATGGACGATCGTTCTCTCTGTAAACATTCTGAATACTCCAGAATATGTTTGAAGACCTAGACATGATTGCTGTTATATTCACAGCTTTTTTCCTTGAGCCACTCTACTCTATAGCTTCCATTGATACAATAAATATGCTTTCGTGGATTGTTCGCGGAAAAAAAATTGAAAATATCTATGGTAGAGGAGGGGGAGGGAGCTAACAAAAATGGATTTCACTGCATGTTACAGGAAATCGAGACATAATTTTTTGTGTTAACCGCGTCGATTTCGTACTTGAACACTTGATGGATGACAAGAACTCTGTTATTTTTTCTGCTTGTTTTTTTTTTCAAATCTATTTTTCTTTCTTGGCACAGTCAGCACTACCAGATATGTGCCCAACTCTTATCGTCGATACTGTATTTCTTAGCTGGTAACTTGTGGGTGCTCTTTTTACAATCCTGAGCTTTTGAAACGAAAAAAAAAACTTCAAGAGGTCCTTTTTGAGTAGCTCTGGATCATCGGACTACCCCTCTTTCAGATGATTTCCCAAAGACAGATGGTGATGGTAGTCCGCTTTCGGTGCCAGATCTGCTGAACATAGCGAGCGGATCAAATCGTCCCATAATGACCTTGAAGACTTGCTGGACCCTTCATAACTCGCGCATGATCGTTATCGAGATATAGTAAACTGTGCCATGTTTTTCGAGCTCAGTGCCGGCGGGCTCATTCACTTATCTGCATTGTCATCAATAGCAGTGGCGAACTCTCAATGGAAGGAACGTTCCCAGCTTTACTAACTCGGTAAGTTGCCTCCCAGGTTGCAGGGCTGAAATCGAAGGCAGAATTCTCGTTTCTACGTTTCCGAGCCAGAGCTGCTTCGTCGAGTGATCTGGGTGAAGAATTCACTTTTTATTTATTACCACCAACCGAGTTGCTGGGCCGAACAAGAAACAGGCGTCGAATCAAACTATTCATGAAGAATTTCTCCGCCTTTGAAGCTAGCGGTCAATCAGATCACAATATACCCTTCTGCCAAGATTTCAATTCTTTTAGAGGAGACATCAAGGAACGACGGCTATTGTATCATGATGTTACTGGGAGAAAGCTCTACAGGTTCCCGTGAACTGCGCCGGGGACTTTTTCCAATCAACTTCAGGACTTCGTCATTCAGATGTTTTTTCCTCGAGTATTTAGGCATCTGTAGCCAAATAACTCCATGTTGCGGAAGACAATCCACCCCAATACAAAGGATTCTTGCCACTCCCTCCATCGACGTGCTTTCTAGGTTTATAGGGAGCAGTGGAACATGCTTTCGAAGGAGACGATTGTCAGCTATAATCGCTGCCAACTACTACGGTAGAAATGCCTTGAGGAGTATGACCGCCGCTCACACACCTTTTCAACGAATGTTATAAAACAGATCCCAAACGGTTTCGCAAAGATTTGCAATATAAAAAATAAATGCGCAAAGACTTTTATGACAAACTTAGCTTTCTGTATCGAAGATGCGATTTGGCAAAATGACGACAAATTGCACGAGCCAACCATCTGGTAACAATTAACCGACTACGGAGATATGCTGACTTGGTGGGAATGTCGGCGTAGGACCCAGGATTCGACTACTGGACCATGCCACTACACCACTTTTGAAAAAAAGCATCAGTTTACATGCGCCTCCCACAGACAGCGGATCACAGACTTTCACTGTCTGTGAGTGGTCTTCCAGCCAACCGAACGGGAACACGGCTGCGCCCACTTAAGCACCCCTATTTCTTCAGGACTGAATGACACCGCCCCGAAATAATAATCACCAGCGGTCATTTTCTCAAATACTCACTCCTGTTGCGGGGGTCTGGGCTGTAATATCTGCATATACGATAAGCACGACAAATATCAAGTCTCAAGATTACATATCCTTGGTCAACATTATAAAATTTGTGATATAGCAGCCGAGTTTATTTTGAGAATTTCGAAAAAGTAAAAAAGTAACCATCCAGTGAAACTAACGACCTCCTGCAGGTATTTGGAGAGCTGTTGCACTCATCCTCTGAAAGTGGCTCAACCTTCACCCTCCTTTGCATCCTGAATGTGAACAATCCGTTTACTAAGAAAATAGTCGCGTAAATGTCCCAACTAACTGAAGATAATAAGAATAATGAAGAGATACTGAACAATGGACTACATTTCAACACTACAGGGAGTCGAACTGTCTTGTGCCTGAACAAGAGAAGGTTGCTTCTGAGCCTGTTCAGCCTCTGGAATCTTCTTCGGACAACTGAAAAATGAAAAGTCTTCGCCTCTGATCTATCTACTCTACATGGTAGGTGCATCCTACCGGTACCCGGAAAATTACGAATACAAAAGATAAATCATAAGCTCGATTACAAACAACATTTAACTATTAATAAGATCAACTATTACATTTGAATTCGCATCAACTTCCATCAGTTTTAAGGTTGGGCCTTGAGTCACTTGTAGAGGCTTCTGGAGAAGGTGTCTAAGCAGGTTAGCAGTGTCTTTTCAAATTCATCTTCGGACCTGTCAGGGCACCGGTAGGTTCCAATTCCCAACGATTTGCACGAGGCTTCTGATCCCAGCTTTCCATGGACTCATTAGTCGAGCGGGATCATGAATTACTGTACAACGTTTTTGACCAGCTCACATACTGAACTATTTTGCTTGCTGCGGGAGCGTCGCCACATCGCGTTCTATATACAGGGCGACGCCACGTGGGTGGCACTTCAGAGTATGCATCCCCTATGATTTGAAAAGGTTCAAAGAAGCTCGCAAGCACCCACAATACAATAATTTATCGCCCATCCTGAAACCTCCTTCAATGAGAAATTACTGTCGACAAAAAGGAAACAACTCACGATGATGGACTAGGTGTAAGCTTTTTATACTGAATTTGTCAGCGTAACGAGGCATATCGGGATGTTTCTTTTTCTTTCTAAATAAGACAAGCGTTTGTTACATAACAGCTGCTACAACCAATGCCAAGTTAGTAAATACTAGACTTACTTTCTTGCTAGGTGATTCATCGGATGGAGACACAGATGGTACGGGGCTGGATTCACATGGAGCGGTTGCTAAAAAATGTTCTGCGAATGTTACGCCGTGACCATATGTAGCAATCGAATAATATTACAGATGAATTTCATGTTCGTTATGATCACAGATGAATTTCTGGGCAAACATAATTTTATTGCCATTTCAAACGAAGTGGTTGTCGTTTGCCTAATGATGCAACTTTAACGAAGATGGCCTTCAAATTCTAGCAAACTGCAAATTTTGCTCATTTGATAATGGGAAAAATCGTAGAATGTAAAGATAGACTGTTTACACACATGCACATCGGCCATCGACTGCATGACCATTGCTGACCTCAGGCGATAGTTCCTCGGCTTTCTGCAAAAGACCGAAATACAAACATAATCGATAAGTCAGTCAAATAACCCATAATAATAACCTCCAGCACTGAAACTTGCATCATACAGAAATCACTGCCACAAACAGTGGACTCAGAAACGGCTTGGTCCTGATCAGACCTGCCTAAAATTAGTGCAGAAGAAAGTTGAAGGATAGAATCATTCGACCTGAGCACTGGTAAATAGGAAGCGAATGCAAGATTAAGCAATAACACGGCCATCGAACAAAGAAATGGGGCAACCGAGAAGTCTCCGGGAAACAGGTTAACAGGTTAACAGTGCCTAATGTTCCGTCCAAATGGGCTTAAAAAGTTACTAAGCAAAAAGAAACAAGAATCATTAGAAACTTACCATCAACTAAAATTCCACGGACAGCCAATAATAAAGACAATTACAAGGAATAACGAACTGAGGTGTGATTCAATCAAAGCTTGAGACTTATTGGCGACGTTCCGATGAAGGTCGCTATTACTCGCTGTTACCGTCAAAAAGTGAACTTTTGGATGGAAGGCCTTCGAGAGAAGTAAATTATCTCCTCCTCGAGTTGATACTTTATCCGCAACCTGAGAATTGTCAACGAAGTGGAGGACATACCACGGTCATCTTAACTATTTGTTGGCCACTTGACCCCGTTATTCATATGATCGCATCTCAAAAACTTTGAATTTATATGTTGTAACCTCATTTCACCACAACTCACAATGCAAAGATCCGCTACTAAAGAAATAGACCAATGCTAAGATATACGAATACGAGTAAAGCTTGACCAGAATTTCTCAGGAAAATCTTTGTTGTTGACTATGAAGCAAGGCAAATGCAAGAGCAAAGCACCCGCTTGCCGAGCGCGAACGATTTAAAAGCGATGTTATTGAGCGAAAACACTTTCCGCTCAAAAAATATTGCACCGATGAAAATTCGGATGTTTGACTACTAGCAACACCCCACTTCGCATTTCGCCATCATAAGCCACCAGGGTGATACTCCTGCTTTAACACGTTGACGACAGCGCAGGTTTTGGCTTTTTCCGCCGCATGGGACATGGGCAGTTTGGCGGGCGCGATTTGCCTGACGCGCAAGCGCGTCAGCTTGTCCCACGAGGTGCGTTTTTCGGAACTCAAAACTGAAAAGTGGCAAAACAAGGGTACAACGCTAATTGGGAGGAGGGGCTTCCGGTAGAGACGCGCACTGCTTGTCTCTACCCTCTCAGCGAAATACTAGATGCAGAATAAGGAATCCATGAGGGGGAGTATAGCCAGTTAGGGAGATGGGAGAGAGGAGGGTCGGGCGATTTCGAATGACATGCGTAGAAAGCTGGAATGTGCATGTTCACACTATCTCTTCGGATAAATGACTCCAAGAAAGTGGTCGAATCACTGCTGAACGTTGAGCATGAATACTTCCTAAGTCAGTTGCTTCCCACGTGACGTATGTCAGAAGAAGAAGGTAAAGGTTTGAAGGAATTAATAGAAGAAAGTGTTTAGAACGTTATGCAACTATCTCTATAGAGCAAGGATCGCTTTGCGGCTTAACAATCCGAAAAGGGTAAAACGCGCGGAAGATGTAGAAAATTCTTTGTATAGACTGCTCAAATGAAAAACACAAGGTCATCTCATTCATAGAATCGTAGTTCCTTGACATTATGTATCACATTCGTTGTTTGCATTTATATTTTGTTTTTATGCTTGGTTAATCCCAAAATAGATAGTCGAAGACACGAACGAAACGAAATTAGTATATGGCTTCAGTTGAGCGCAGACTCAGAAACCCTTCGCTCAACTGAAGGATTCACTGTTATGGCCACACCGTTTACAGGCATGATGATGTACTATCTAAATAATAGTAATAAAAAATTTCGGAAAAAGTCGGCAGGTGCATAAGAAGTAGGTACCTAAGATGCTGACGCGCATGCGCGTCAGAATGTCCAATGCGGCGCCAAATGTCTGACGCGCTTGCGCGTCAGCCTGTCGTCAACGTTTTAAGGAGTACCTTCACTATAGGAAGAACTATATCACCTGAAAGAAGTCAGGTTAATATGTTCATATAATATTTATACATTAAGTTGTCGAGAAAGTCTTCGGCCATTTCTATTCCTATACTGTAAAATCTTCAGAGATGATTTTTGAAAATTCATTGTAAAACGTATAAAAACCGTAAATGCTCTTAGAACATTTCTGGCATTTCGTAGCGATTATGGGTGGGTCAGTCATCTACCTGAAGGCATGTTTGACCGCTCCTGATTTTGAAACCGAAAAAATGGGTCAGTGAAAGAGATGCGGCAAACATAGCCCATGTATTGCGTCATGCGAGGATCCAACAGTGCCTTCTACAATATGGACAACATTTGTGGCGAAGCCCAGAAACTCGATAAAAGGGCACTCAGGTTGGCCTGTTACACTGAATGACGAGTATCTTCTGAAGCATTCTCCGGAGCAATGCACAGCTTTTACCAAGTTATCGAAACAAATAGCCATTCTTCAATATCTCCTCGAAAGAAGAATTGATGGCGAAAGGAGAATTGTGATAAGGTGAGCAACCGCCTTACAGATACTCCAGATTTTGCACAGATAACCATCTCTGATTACCGTCTCTCTCTTGCTTGACCCGACTACTTTGTAGATGGGAAACAGAGTTCCTCACGTAAACTGCACCCGGAAACCGGCTCAGACGCGTGGACCCAGGATTCCAGCACTTATTCCAGCACTGCAACCTGGGATACAACTTTAAGAGTCGGCGGGACCAAGCGATTCGTTTACTGACAGCTCCCACCAGCCACCTGCACTACTATGGTAAAACGATAATGTGAACAAATGGATGGCTTCTTCGGCTTTAAACTCGGGAAACACTGCAAAGTTCACTTCATCCAGGACGCTCGTCAAAGAGCTTCGAAACGGTCCAGCAAAAGTGTACAAACCCCTTATGGGATGTTCTGTCTCGAATGTTGCGTTCAGCAGACCAAGCACCAATGGACTACCATCTGCCTGCTCTGCTGTCGAGAATTAAAGGGAGCTTGATAAGAGTTTCTTCGAGTGTTTTGCTTTGAAGCTCAGGATTCACATACAAACGGCATCCACAAGTTACCTGCTAAAAGGCAATATGTTGACGATTGTGGTGGGGCATATATTTGTCAATTGCTGACAGTATTAAAGAAGAAAAACGAAATTTAAAAAAATCGGCAAATGGCCAAAGACTTTTTCGACAACCTAATAACACTTACAAAACAGGCCCTATATTTACTCGACTAAAGGGAAGACTGAATTGACTCGTCTTTCTGATCACCTCGCGGGTACATTTGTCACAACTCATAAATAAGATTGACCAATAATGAATAAATAAAATAAATTCACAAAGTTTTGAACATAAGCTGGCACCACAATCATTGCTTGGCAGGAATGCACATTCAAGTACCTTCATAACTCTGTTTTTATCGGGGTTGAGCAGCTCCACCTAACTCACAGGTCTTTAAGACAAAGTTCGTATTGACAAGTTCAAAACCACAGTCTTGCAATAAATGCGTAGCGACTGACGTACGAGTGATTCCCTTTAGCGGGACATTAGCCAAGAGTCGAAGCTGGTATTTCAAAGAGATGACTCCGAAACTGAGCTCTCTCCCTCTCCCTCAAGCCTCAACCTTTTCTCTCTCATTCAACAGAGCTATCACGCAGACGGTTGAACAGCTTAATTAAGGGTTGAGTGATATAAAATTAAAAAATAAAGAATTTGTACACTGCTCCAAGCTTTGTTTATTGTGCCACGGTAGATCGTCTTCGTCATTGGGCATACGGTATAGAGTGACGGGTCTAAAAAGAAGAAAAGGAATATAATGAAAGGAGACTATTACGGATCGTTGGATAAGTACTGAAATTTGCAATAGACCACTGGCCTGCTTGAATGGCCGGTGGGTCTTCTCGGTGCTCGTTTAGCAAATCGTCGACGCTTGTCGTAGGGTAACCAGCGCCGGTTGTGCGACGGCATATGAGCATCACGAACATATTTGCCAAAGAACTGATTGGACTGCTCTAGATGAAACCTGTCTTGGAACATCGGTTCAGGATACCATGGCCAGTCTTCATAGTAAAACGCTGGTGCAGGCCAATTTCCCAGGTTATCAGGGTATCCACGTGGGAAACCACCACGCTAAATGAAAGAATTCAACAGACTGAGTGAGATTATGGGCGAACGCTTTAATGATACTTACCCAGCATTTTCGCGGCACACCATAGTACGGCTCCCACATGCTTATGATGACCGTCGCATAAAAATCAATGTATTGCGCGGAATTCGTCAGAAAGAACACAATAAATTTCCTGTAATCATGCGGAATGCTGGCTTCTCTTTGTTCGAGACGAAACACTTCGTGTGCGAATTCAGGCGTATGTTGACTTTGAAATCGCCATATGTGGACTTCAGAACGGCACATGTTTCAGAAACAAGCACATTAGGCGTTTCAGAATGAGGTGAAGAGACTCTAACCTATAAAAGCCTTCACAGTTCAGGACTTGGGTAATGGTAACTACATATCTACCAAGTCAATAATGGATTATGCGAGGGACGCAGTCGGCAACTCGATCACCAATATTTCCGTTTGCCTGCTTCGTCGAAAACATCCTATATCTCCGTCCATAAACACAAAGATCACGAGGGATGATTACATTCAAAAGCCATTCGTGACTGTTAGAAATGTCTCATCTCAACTTCGCAAGGACAAACTGCATAGGACCAATTGCGAAAACTGGCAAACGGCAATAATAACCCTAACGATGACAACCGACGCTATGATAGGATCGTCAACTGTAAAGGGTGACATAGTGGCCGACATACTCGCGAGCACCTTATGCTTTCATTACTAAAATAGATGCTAGTTACCTTGGAGAGGGTAGGCCGCGGTTGTACTAGGCGACTACCTTGCCCTTCGCTTGCAGTTGGAATGTCGAGCAGAAAGGCAGCGGCTCAGCAATATCACGATCAAGCATCATACGCTGTTTGCGGCCGCTTCAGTCGCAAGGTATGACTGCGTTAGGGTGCGGTGCTTGCGATAGCGCGATCGCAAGAATATGCCTTCTTTCTA